TACGATAGAAAACGCCGTGAAGCAGATTTTAAAGTTGGGGATAAAGTATTGAAGCGGAAATTTTCTTTATCAAGTGCCCCAGACAATTTTACGGCAAAGCTAGCTCCAAAATTTGAAGGCCCCTATGTAATTCAGGAAATCAAAGGAGTCGTATTATACCTTAAGAACGAGAGAGGGGAAATCTGTAAAGCAAGTCCCGACCAGGTGAAAAAAATACTATAATCCAAATGATTTTGAAATCCTTAAAAGTTTCTTGCAGGACTCAAGTCTAAACGAAGTAGAAGGTCCAGAATAACAACAACGTTCCACCACCCAAGAAGCAGAGAACTGAAGAGAGACCTAGCCCTTCTACAACCCGGACGACGGTACCAAAAAGAAAAAAAATGAAAACTTTCAAACTCCAGCATTTAAGAAAAACAAGAATACAGATGCACCGCGTAAAGAAACCGTGGTAAAGAGAAAAACACCACCTACAACGATCGCAGGAGAAATTATACATCAAGGAGAACGCGCCCGGCCAGCCAGAGAGTCAGGTGCCAGCAAGGCCGCCGTTCCGGAAACTGAAACGGCAAGCAGGAGGAACAAAATACCAGGAACAACAGAAGAAATTCAAGAAGGACTCCAGACCGGAGGACGTCAAGACCAGCCGTCCCATGGGAAAAACGGAAAAACGACAACAACCCGACGATTACTCCGCCAAGAGGCCAGCATGCAGAGGACGCAAAAGAAAAACTAATGTGGACGACACTCGGAGGTCAAGTAAGGAGAAGATTGACGTCCATGAAACCTATAACTTGGGAACAATTTTGCCAGAAAAGAATGACGGAGTTTCAAGCATCGAAAACTCAAAGATAAGTTAAAATCTTCTATAAAATTTTTTTTTCTCTTTTGTTCCGAAATGTTATGCATAAGTACGAAGTTCTATGTTTTGACGAAAGTCAATATGTCTCGGTTGAGACTTAGTTTTGTTTTACTTTATTTAGCTAAGGCAAAAGTATTATTTTTCTTTAAGTGTAAAAGCTAAAAACAAGCATTTTCTGTTGGTCGAAAGACTAATTCTGTTATGTTAAAGCCAAAATTTGGCCGAAGATAAAAATAACTTCGTATTCTTGTATTAATAAGAATTTTAGTTTCAGTGCCGCCAGCTTGGCGAAGAATGAGTAAAGTAAAAATTTATTTTCTCTTATTCATTTTATGGTAAATTGTAAAAATCATATGTATTAAAATTTTGTAAATGTACGTAAATACTTGAATGTTATGTAAAAGTAGAATTTAGTCTAGAAGCATAAAATTTAGATGCTAAAAGTGAATGCTTAAAAGCAATGAATTCAAAATTTAAGTATTAAACTGTAGATAAAAATCATGCTTTAGAGCGAAAGCCTGCATGTTCTAAAGATGAATGAGGGGGAAGTTAGAATGAAAGTGTTTTGTAGGGTTCTCCACCTACACTTGAATTTCTAAGAATGTTAAAGTAGCTCATCGAGTTGTAGAATGTAACACTGTAAGGATATTTAGACATAATTCGTCTTATTATCTTGTAGGGTTTATATTTATTTTAACTAACATTTATTTTAAGTTTAAACTATCTTTCCTGTCAAGCCTTACTTTCCCCTGGAACTGCCAATGCCAGAGTATGTAAATTTTAGTAGAACGCGCAAGGATTCAAATTATCAGCGGAAGTATTCTGTTAAATAGAAAGGAAACGAGTTCGAAGTGTGCTGTTCTTACTTCACGAGCGCGGAGGTAGTTAGCCAGAAATTGAAGAACCCCGCGTTTCGGCCTGTGTGCTTGCCTAGGAGAATTGTTAATTGTTCAACGTGATATTCAAAGTTTGCTGAATTAGCAGCGGTATTGTAAAACGCCGTGAGGGTAGTTACTTTTAGAGAGCCTCGTAGTTAGAGTCTTGTTATTATTTCTTTTCAGGTTCTTATTTTTATTTTACCGCCGGGTCGGCGTAGTTTGTGAGCGTCAAGAGCACGCAATTGTAACTACTTAAGTTGAATAAAAAGGGACTTAAAGCCTTAGCAAGAATCTGTCTGTTTTCCAGTTTCAACAGTCACCTCTTGGTTGCGTGCAAGTTGGAGGCGCGCAACTCTACAATCTGTTTATTAACAGTCTAACAAAGAGTAATAATATTTTTTATATTGTCCTAATTAATTACGTTTAATTGCATATATTTTTTAAATTTTGCTTAGTATTGTGACAATATCAATTATTTGTAACTTACCTCTGAATGGCTTTCTTACTATTCTTGATCATTTATATCTTATCTTCAATTAACTTCAGCTAAGAAATTATTAAGTTTGATTATGAGACATTATTCATTGGTAAGATAAACGACAATTTTATGTTATTTTAGGGGTTAACCCCACATAATGAAATACGGTTTATATACTACATTCAGTAAAACTTAAAATAATAAATAGAAAGGATACTTCTATATATCTTTTACTAATTTTGAGTTTCCCGTGGTGACGCATTAGCGTTTGAATCCTTGCTTTAAGTTAAATTAATTATTTAAATGTATATTTTATTATAAATTTCTTTAAATTTAATTAATAGAGCAAATCCAAGTATGTCTGAAAGAAATATAGCTATCTGTGTAAATTTGTAAACTTCAAAATACAAAGTTCACTCTTAGAGGCTGTGAAAATGCTAACCTAAACTTCAAACAACTTCTGATCGTTAGAGATATCCCTGAAACCAACCAAAAGTTCCCCCGGGTCCCAAAAATGAAGAAAAATTGCGAGTACAAATCACTTCAGAGTCCTTTGAGCTACTAGATTAAAAGGCTCACTGTTATCTAAATACTCGTGATAGCTCCCGGCTGCATCTTCTAAGGGAACGGGAGGGGGAATTATTATACCTTTCATAACTACAGGAGTCTCCCAGCAGGGTCTGCACTGTGAGTAACGAAAATGGCTCGGGTTTGTGAACATGAGCTTTTTTCTCTGCTTGCGTAGTGCGCTCGCAGAGAAACTAAATGTACAGTAAACTGTAGATCAAAACTGCGATAGTAGTATGGTTGCATTTTCAAAGTGCTAGTTCGTGGATTGTTTATGAATGTTTGGAATTGTTATGAGAAAATTATTCAGTACTGTGCTGAAGAACTCTATTTAGTACACTGACCAATATAAATATACGTATGTACAAGCATACGTAAGGCTTATCAGATAGATAAAATTTATTGCTAAATTTACAAGTGTCAATGGTAGTGCAAAAATGAGTGCCCAACAGGCAAAGTGTAAAAGAGATGAAATGTAACATTTGATTTTTATCCTCAGTTGAAGTATATAATTTACATATTACTCCAGTAGACAACATAAATACCATGTGATTCATACTTCTGTTAAAAAAAATTCCCTTTGTATTTTATTACTGATTTTAATGTTATTACTTCGTCAGCAATTTTATGCAATTTTGTACCAGTGCTGTTTTCCCAACTGGAAAGTATTTATGAAGTAAGCTTTTATTACGGCATTCAATACTGGCTTCGACTCTTCCTAGACTAATCTAAATCTTTCTCTTTCAGTTTTATTTTAATTTTCAGGAAAAGGAAGAGGTTGTAGGGAATTGGAGCTGATGAATAGAATAAAGAACAACTATTATGTTAATGGCGTTAAAAAAATTCGTGGCCCATATTTGCTCACATGTAAAACAATTATGATTTAGGAAGTAGGGAGTAAAGTAAAAAAAAAAAGGAGATAGCAAGTTAATAGCAAAACATCTTCATATATTATGTATATAATACGAATGGAATGTAAATGACTTTTAGTTAGTGACAAACATATTAAAAACAGGGGGATTTCTTTATTTGCCCATGTACAGTTGTTATGCATCTAGCAAATAAATCATTTTAATGTTTGTGTATTTCCTGTCACCAGTAACAGGAAAAAATTAGAAGGATCTAATATCAAGTTTTGGGTGTTTCAAATTTAAAAAGAAAAAAAAACTGATTTTATTATTAATAAGTGTAATTTTGAAAAAGGTGACAGAGTTTTTGTCAAGTTTCTTTTTTATATGAAGGTCTTCAATGCAATACGAAGATCCTCACCAGAATGCAGTTAAAGCGTATTTAAGACAATAGTTTGGAATGTTTTAGAGACAGAACTTTAGCTGCGCTCGCAGCTTTATTTCTACTGACCAGTCCTGCCTATTAATATCCCTGCATTAACAGTTATGCTATAATATGTTACATTTAAACCGAAATTTCAAGGTTATTTTCTACCACCGATTTGACTCGTAGCCATGGAAATAACAAAAAGAAAAGACAGAAAAAAAAAATAGACGACTCGCTTAATTTTTTCCTCTTTTTCATTTTTGTTTAGCGTGTCTCGCTTCAGATAAAGCACTCTAATGAAGGCTGACTTCAAGTGCAGTCTCAATGCGCAGAAGACAAATGCTATGCTATGATGACAACACAAGTTACTATCGCAAATGCGGGGGAGAGAGGCTGTCAGTGGCACTGAAGCTTTAATATCAAAATTACAGACTACAAACGACGTTAAAAAATCACCGTTAAATATTTGAGCCAGCTTTGTGAGGCCAAATCTGTGTAGTCCCCGGCTAGAATACTTTTAATTTGAAATTTCAACTATGCTATTTTACTCACCGCAAGCAGCGGAGGTTTTTTCTTACGCATAAGTGGTGCCCTCTGTTTAAATTCAAGTTAAAAAAAGTTATTTTAAAACCTCAATAGAATTTTTTTGTATTCACATTAGACGGAGAGATAACTCGCTTTTTAGTCTAATATTGTCTGAAGGACATAGAGATAATATAACACAATTATGACTTTAGAAACCCATTGTAGAACGCAAAGTTGCGTAGAAGCCTCAGAATTTCAATAAAATCCTTTTATGATATTATAACAATTATTTGAATTATCAAGGAACTTTGAATGCTTTAATTTTATTTTAGCACATTTATGTACTATACATTTGGAAGATCATTTGTCTTCATCTCAATTGATTTATTTTTATAGATCTTTATCCTCTCGGAAGAAAGGATGCTGAAGATGTGACGCGAGCTTTTCTTCATGAAGTGTTTGAAATCTTGATGGACTTTGTAACCAAGTCTAATGACAGGTCAGCTAAGATCTTGGATTTCCATCAACCTCAGAAGCTGAAGGAGATATTCGACCTGAAAATCAATGATGATTCCGTTAATCTTGATCAACTTCTTGTCGATTGCAAGGAAACTCTCAAGTATCAAGTTAAGACAGGTAAGTGAAGTTTTATTAATTGCCGTATGGGCTATTCTATGTTAAAACTGCTTGTAAGATATGCCTCGGAATTTTGAAAGAATTGAATGTTTTGTAAAGCAGTATCTATATAAATGCATTTTCAAATTTAATGTTATTTTTATCTTGTTTGTTTATTTAATATGAGAATATCTGCTGTCATTTTACTTCTCAGATAAATACATATAATGCTCACGTAATGAATTTTAAATGACCACAGACGAAATAAAAATTAGATCTGCTATGAATTTTAAATAGTTTACAAAATTTCACTTTTTTCGCTGCAAAAATAAAATTATTCATGCATTAAATCAACATATTGCCCACATTGTAAATGAAGGAAATATTACTCGTCTAAATGCTTCGCAGAAAGCCTACTTATTTTTCATAAATTCATTTCAGTCGAATTAAATACTATGGATTTTAAAGTTCTTCAGAGACAAGTTAAATATTAAAATGCTATTTTACTTATGGGATATGCTTAAATTACAGTGCGCGTTCTTTAAAAAGTGCTAACTGCAATGAGATTCTTACATTAGTTCACTCACAGTTGAATAGCTACGCCTCGCAAATAAATGCGTAAATAAGAAAAAACTGTCCTTATTTGCTTTAAATGAAGCATAATATGAATATATTTATACATTTTATTTTCTATTTAATTTAATATTTATCTAAAGCTTTATTATATACAATACCAAATACATTTTTATAATAAGACATACCAGGGAATTCAAGTAGCAAAGTTCTCTACATGCTTAATATTTGGCTTTTGAATTTCTACTTTAACGAGCTTTTGGACTGTTTCTGGTCACAACATTTAATATAATTTTTGTAGCTAATGATAAGTATCTCTGAAGTGATAACAATTAGTGGTGAAAGACTGAATCTCATTCAATAAACTTATGAAATGAAAATTACTTTCAAGTTCTGATCTCCGAAGTGATTACAGTTGTTAGTGAAGGAATCTAATATTATTCAGTAAACTTGAGACAATTACTTTGAAATTCTGCTAACAGTAGAGACATTAGGTATTTCTAGAAGCAGGAAAAATGAAAAATTAGCAACGCCTTCGCCGGGAATCGAACTACGGACCTCGAATACGCGCCCAACGTGCAGACCACCACATCACGAAGGCATGCCAAGAAGGTGGGGGAAATACCTTATACACTGAACGGTTAGTTTTGTGGGTATTCACTTCAAATAATTAAGGAACGTAAACTACTTAAAGCAAAATTTAAAAAAATAGCAGCTTCCAATAGAGAACAATGTTTTCCAACATTAGTAGATATTTCGGTTTCCCAAATATTTAGTCTTACATCTCCGTTTTCGTAGACTATTTTAAACTAAATCTTTGCAAAACAAAATACGAATTAGTGGGAAATTAAATGCATTTTCGGAATTGAAGCCTATCTGCTTGGCTGATTTTCAGACTTCCAAGTGAGTCATAATTTGACAGCGTTGACGTGATGGCCTATTTATTTTTTAATTCTAACGAGTGATTTAGTGCCTTGTTAAATGCTGAACAACAGTTCCCCTCGGACGAACTCTCCTTTCAATTAGCCAATTATTCGCTGAAGGGGCCACTTCACAGAGATTTAATAACGGGGCTGGAAATCGTGGGAGCCCTGTTATTTATGGACCAATTATGGGCAGTTCTTTTTTTCCCCTAACCCCAGCATGCTGTCCTCTTCGACAAAATCTGTCAAGAGATTTCCCTCACTCCTTTTCCGAAACAGATTCTGGCGCCCTTGTGCTTCTCATGTTACAGTTCCTGTTACCTGAGAGCTGTTTAATTTTGCTTTTAAGCAGCATCGAAATATGTTTAGGTATGTTATGAAACAAAAATACTTTTAGCCTATAGTGAGTATTTTCAATTTTGATTTCAAGTTACAATAAAATATGATTTTAAGAACCATAGTGTGATGTGATCACCAAAATTGTGAGGAAATCAAAATTTGAATTTCTGTAATTTTTCAAAATTTTCAAAAATTAATTCAGTTTAATCAATTATTTTGTAACTTTCTGCAATATGAGAATAAGTTTAATTTCTATTAAGAACTGGATAAAAAATTATAACAGATCTTTTCCGAAATATTACTGTACATTTTACGATATCTAAGAAATCATCTCATGCGATCTGTAAATTTTTTTAAACATTTTCTACAAAATTTTAATATATACAACAGCAATATTACAACAAAACGCAAATAACTACAATAATTAATGTTGTGTTTGTAAAATTAATATGCATTTAGTTTCTGTCTCTAGCATACATTAGATATTCTGTCTGCCATTTTCTGAATGCTAATTATTCTAGTACTTTATCTTATTAATTATTTGTGCTTAATAAATAATAATTCAGAAACTTTCAACAACTAAATATAGAAAAACCTAGAAACTGAAAACTAAACAATTTAATATCAAGGTACGTAGTGTACGGTGCAGAAACACAAACACATCTTTTTAAAACTATAATAATGCTCAACATGCTCCTAAAGGGTATCAGTTATATGCTATATAAATTAAGTCAGTTATATACGCAATACTCTAAAACAAGTCCCAAATAGAAGGAAACGAAACTCGCAAAAGAATATCGGGGGCTTTTTCTTAAATGTCACGATGCAGTAAACTTCATACAAAAAGTTATTAGTAATTCTTTTATTTACTTCGGATATCTGATTTTTGTAACTGCTATTTCTCCTGAATAATAATAAATGGATCCTTTTTTTTTAAACTTATCGTCTGATAATTTAAGCTACGACTAAAGCTGGTACATCACATATATATATATACATGTAAGATAAAAATGTATGAATCAGAATTATAATATAACTATAAACATTAATTCTTCCTCTCTATTCTAAAATCGTAATAACTTATCTTAATATCCTTCCCTATGAATAATTTAAATAGCTTAAATTTCGTTACTTAGTTTGCTCACACATAATTATGAAAAATTAGAAAAATTAATGAACAAGAATTCCAGATTTTCTCAAAACAAATTGCAGAAATTTTAACCAATGTTGAAATGAAAACTATAGAATTCGCAGCACATTAAATAATTTAGTTCCTGAGCTAGGTTCACACGGATGTAATATTTTTGAGCTGTTGAAAAAGCGGAAGTGCAAATAATTTTCTGTCGCACATACTTGCAAACACTAACTCATATCGACCTTGAACCCGCTGTAATGCTCAATTCCTAAACGGTAATACACTGATGATTTAAAGCACTTTTTTTTTCTAAATATTAGATTTCTAATAATAGATGAAAAATTAGAAACGCCTTTGCCGGGAATCGAACCACGGACCTCTGAAATACTGGCTCAGTGTGCTGACCACTACACCATGAAGGCACGCTAGGAAGGCGGGAAAAAATGCTTTATAGACTACAGTAGTATTGGAAATTTTAAAAAAATTGAACTACTGACTTGAAAGTTGGTTAATTGATTACGAAGACTCAGACAGCTATCTTTCCTAAAAGACCACAACATCATAGAGGAAACTTTATTGAAAAATGGCTCATATTCACGCTACATATGGAGGAAATCTAAGCAAAAAATGACCTCTTGTGATAACTTATATAGAAGTATTTCAAGTCACTGCGGATATTATGTCTCGGAACCTAAAACGGGAAGATGAATGCAAGTTTCATAGAGCTTTATGCTATCTATGAAAGTCTAACTCATGTTAATGTTGGAATTTCTCATAATGATGCTGAAAACGCTTTAAAAATCGCCTCCCAATAGTAATTTGATAATTTCTGGGATAATTTAGCAAGAAAAGGTAGGGATACGCTGTAAATATAGATAACTTTAGAGCAGGCATGTCAAAGTCAGTATCTCAAGTGGACCAAATAGTCATCATTTTGCAATAGTGCAGGTCACGAAAAAGAGGAAAAAAAGCCGTTTTCATACTTAATGATGTAATGAGTGTAAAAAAGAGTAAATGCATGAAATCTTTCCTAACACTGTTTCATAAAAGAAAAGTACAAAAATAAAAAACAAAAGGAAAGAACATAATGATATCCTGACAGTAGATGGATACCTATTGTTTATTTCCGATACTTGGTATTTTTTTCCTATAGTCAGCTTTTGAATGTTTTTAGATACGCTGCTAGCACTAATGAATATCTGTTAACTTGGATCTCGCTGGGAATTTTTCCTTTTCATAAGTGAGGAAAGCTATTAACTTCAGTACGTGCTACCGAACATGCTAATCACGTACGATGCAAAATGTTCGGCTTTCTGGGAACCCTACAGGCAAGTATTTGTAAAATTCAGAATAATCACTTTTCTTAATTTTTGCTTTAAAGTTTTACACATTGAATTTTTGTTAATACTATCGCTAAATGGGTTGCCACTTTTTATCGTCAGTTGAGAAAGTTTTTTTATGAAAAGACTCTTAAGAGTCGGGTTTAATACTCAAGGTTGTATATACGCCTCTATATTCAGTGGAATTCTAAACTTTATTAAAAAGATGTAATTATATGTATATATTTTGTTATATTTTCAGGGTGACCCCTGGGCAGCATAAAATGAGTCACAATGAGTTTAATATGCCTATTCTAGAGTTTAAAATAGTTATACTTTTCGTAAATAATGAAAAATGTATAAAGAAATGACAATGTTCTTCGTTTTGCAAATCACTCTTAGCAAAGTGCGTAACAGTATTATTATATCCCGTAAAATATTAATAAATAACCATATTATTCTTTAATCAATAACTATAAACGAGAATTTGTTTTTATATTAGGATTTAAAATAATTTATGAATTCCTTGGATAATGTTAATATCAATACTTGTGCCATCTGTTAAATTTTAACAAAATTAAACAGCTTCAATTTAATATAAGTTAGCACGGAGTAAGAGGATCCTCTAGGTTTAAAGAAAATGAAACGTACTTACATTCACTAAGCTGACAAATGATAAAAGAAAAATTAGACATCGTCACTGGCATAGAATTAAGGAAAAAGTAATAAAAA